TTGTCTATTTGTATCAAGTTCTTCCTGTGAGACCTCAATGAACGCTGGTTTGAGTCGTTCTGTGGATATATTTGTTGGTACGCCTTTGTAATCAATTTTAAATACATGTTCCGAAATCCTATCCATTACAGTGTAAGGTCCTTCGTATGGTGCTTCCAAGGACCTCCTGCTCGCGTCTACCCTGACGAAGACGTGTGAACATGTATGTACAGTCTTGTGAACGAATGGTTTAACCAATTTATGATGTGCGGTTGGCGCTGAACGTATTTTCCTAATGTGTTCTCTAAATTTTTCAATGAAAGGTTGCGGGTCGTTGATTACTTCTTCGCTTAGGAAGAACTCTCCTGGCAGTCTTAGCGTAACGCCGTACAACATCTCCGCAGCTGAGGCCTTTATATCCTGTTTGAAACTCGTCCTTAGTCCTAATAATACTGTTGGTAAAATTTCTACCCAGTCTTTTGTTCCGTTGCACATTATTGCAGATTTAAGCGAACGGTGCCACCGTTCGATAATGCCGTTAGAAGCTGGGTGGTACGCTGTGGTACGAATTCTCGTACATCCCAAAAGCTTCATCAATGATTCAAATAACTGCGACTCGAATTGTGCACCTCTATCAGTAGTAACAGTTAAAGGTGCTCCATACCTTGCAATCCAAGCCGTGTAGAAGGCCGATGCTACTGTATCCGCTGTGATGTCTTTAATGGGAACCGCTTCTGGCCATCTAGTAAAACGGTCAATCATCGTCAGGCAATATGCGAAACCCTTGGATTGAGGTAGCGGCCCTACGATATCCACATGTATATGCTCAAATCGTCCCTTAGGAATTTCTATATTTTCAGGGACTATTTTATTATGCCTTTGTATTTTACTTTTTTGACAAGCAATACATACTCTGCACCAGTTTCTAATATCCGCGTTCATCTTTGGCCAAACAAAACTTTTTGCTATTAATTTTTTAGTAGATCTGTTATTAGGATGTGCCAGATTGTGAACTGAATTAAATATTTTTCTACGTAAACTCTTAGGTACGTAAGGGCGTATATTATCGCTTTTTACATCACAATACAACTGAGTATTATTTCCTTCCACCTGTAATTTGTGTAAATTTAAATGAGGTATACTTTTCTGCAATATTTGTGGTAACTCTTCGTCTTTTGCTTGTTCCTCAATGAGCTCTTCTGTGGAAACTAACACCGACATATCTACTTGCTCTATTCGAGAAAGTGCATCTGCAATAATATTATCTTGAACAGATATATGTACAATGTTGGTAGAAAATTGTCCTATGAAATCCAAATGTCTAAGTTGACGTGCTGTAGCTTTGTCTGATCTCTGTTCGAATGCCGTAGTTAATGGCTTATGGTCTGTGCGTATTACAATGTCTCTTCCTTCCAATAGGTGTTTAAAAAATTTAATGCTTTTGTAAATGGCCAGTAGCTCTCGGTCATACGCACTGTATTTACTTTGCATTTTATCGAGCTTCCTTGAAAAGAACCCTAATGGCTTCCATTGACCATCTTCCAGCTGTTCCAAAACCGCTCCAATCGCCACGTCCGAAGCATCCGTTGTCAATGCTAATTTAGCATTATCCTTGGGGTAATGTAATAATGAGGCTTTAGCTATTTGTTTTTTTACACTCCTCGAAGGCTTGTTCAGCTTCCTTTGTCCATTTGACAAGTCTTTTATCCCTTTTTTTAGCTCCGGTTAGTTGGGCATGTAGAGGTGCTTGCCCTTCTGCAGCGTTTGGTATGTACCTTCTATAGAAATTAATTATTCCCAGGAATCTTCTTAAATCATTTATTGTATTAGGTTTTGAGTACTCTTAGATTGCTTTGACCCGTTCTGTCAACGGCGCAACACCATGTTGGCTCACTTCATAGCCTAGGAACCTAACGCTTTTTCTTGCGAAAGTACATTTTTTTATATTTACCGTCAAACCATACTCTTGCAATCTCTTGAAAAGAGTGCGTAAATGTTGCTTATGTTCTTCTTCTGAACTTGATGCGACCAGGATATCATCTATGTAACAACGAGCGAAAGGTAAGTCTCTCAGAACCGTATCCATGAATCTTTGGAATGACTGTGCGGCATTACTGAGTCCAAATGGCATTTTAAGGAACGCGATTAGACCGAAAGGCGTGATTACAGCCATCTTGTGTCGATCTTCAGCCGCTATTGGTAAGTGATAATATGCACGCGTTAGATCCAGTACCGTATAAATTTTTGTATCTTCTAACTGTTGTGTAATGTCATGAATATGGGGTAAGGGGTATCTGTCGGGCTGTGTTTTACTCTTCAATCTGCGGTAATCTCCGCATAGCCTCCACTCACCTGTTTTTTTCCGCACCATGTGGAGTGGGCTTGCCCATTCACTCCTTGATGGCTGACAGATTCCTTGTTTTAATAAAAAATCGAATTCTACCTTAGCTACTTTCAGCTTCTCCGGTGTGAGACGTCTTGGTCTCTCCGCAATTGGGGGTCCTCGTGTTGCAATATAATGTTGTACTTGGTGTTTCACATTGGTCTCGTAGGATGTTTTTGTTAGCTTTGTAAACTCCTTAAATAATTCCCCGTAACAACCATCTTTGCTCACCGTAGTTATGGTTATGTGCTGTGAACCAGTAATTTTTCCTTTTGAATGTAATAAGGTTTGACCGTCTACTAACCGTTTGTGCTTGATATCCACTAGAAGATGGAAGTGCCCCAGGAAATCTGCACCCAATATGGCTTTGGTCGTTTTCGCCACGATAAACTTCCATGGAAATGCTCTGCGCAAACCTAAGTCTAGCGTCAGTGTCCTTTCGCCATAGGTATTAATTGTTGAACCATTTGCTGCATACAAGCAGAATTCGGAATCTATGCTTCTTTTGTCTCCACATCTTTTAGGTATTACCGACACGTCTGCTCCAGTGTCTATTAAAAATTTGGTACCTGTTATATGATCAAAAACCATGAGGCGTGTTTGTTTAATTGCACCGCCCTGTCTCGCCTCAAAGAGAGACGGTGAAGTTAGTTTTCCTTTTTCCTTTGGTCTGGGCCTGTCCAGTTACATGGTTTCTGGCATCTCCATGAATTTTCACCAAATTTATTATGGAAATAGCATTTCCCGTTAGTATTTCGACTTCTTGATCCAGAACGATATCGTCTCCAATGTGGTGACTTACCTTTTCTCTTAGATTGGAAATTGCCACGTACCAATGCCTCAAGGTTGGCCAAACGTTGAGTCAACTCTGCCATTTCGCCTTTCTGTTCGTATTGATCTCTTCTAGATATTCTCTCCGGTTCCGATACAATAGCTATTTCTGGTTGTCCAATGCGTTCCATAGTTTTATCAGCTAATTTTGCCAATTTTTCTAATTCGACGTCTTCCACTATAGCTAGTACCTCTTGGGTCCTTTTTGGTAACCTTTGTAACCAGAGGGTCTTTAGAACATTATTGGTTACCTTTTTGCCAGCCAAAAAAACCATTTCCCTTAGGAGTTCGGATGGCCTTTTGTCTTATAATTCAAGACCCGTCAGCAACTGTCTTAGTTGAGTTTCCTCAGACGCCGCTAGCCGAGTGATCAACGCTTCTTTTAACTCGTTATAAGAGTCGCCTGATGGCGTAGCATCTAACATATCTGCTACAACTTTCATTGTCGCGGAGTCGAGATTTCGGACTACCGCGGCCGCTTTTACCGCATCTGCTGTGACACGATAAGCTGCAAATTCTTTTTCTAACATTGAGAACCACAATTTTGGTTCCTCTTTCCAAAACTGTGGCAATCTGGAACTTCTAAAATCGTTGGCCTGAATTTCTATAGGAAAGTCTTTTGCGTCTCTTTGTTCTCCGTCCGCCGGCATTGTTCTTTTTTTCTAACCGCGTTTCGGCACCAATTTATTATGTAGGATACGCCTACGTTGGTGGTTTCTTTTACCACCTGGTCGAACGGACGGGAAAAGGTTTTCGTTGCTTCGTAAAATATCGAAACTTTCTTTTATAACACACTGTTTATTTCTTTGTCTAAACTGATACCTTTTTTTTTTTTTTTCTTGACTTTTCTTGGGCGGAGCCCAAGATGGCGTTCTATAGGAGGTTTTTTTCCTCCTCTCTTGCCCAACGAACATCAGCGGCCTTTTTAAATTCTTTCTCTAAATCCGCAGCGTACATAGTTTTAGTACGATTATATCAAATCATCCATAGTTTTTTCCATTATTCTCCTTTTTCCTTTTTACTTCTTTTTTATACTCTTTACATTTCTTTTTTTCTCCATTCATCTACCTTTTTCTCTTTATCCATTTTTTATTCATATTCACTATCCGCTTATTTAGTTGCCAACAGCACACGATAACCCATCTTTTGGCGAAACCGTGCCCACTTAGCTTGACTTCGGTGATCTTACGGGTACCGGTGTGGCCTAAGTGGCTAAGGCCGTTGACACTGATACCTTTATTGCGACACTAAAGCTTGGTCACAGCCGACTCTAGTACTAGCCATGCTGAACAACGTGGCAACACCGCTCACGTGACAATCGGGAGTCCTATTTTCAAAAACAGAGTCCTGTGCTCGGAATTGTAATTAACGTCTTTTTTAATTAAAAGCTGTAGTAATATACACTATTTGGTGTTAATTATGTATAAACAATATATAAACGTTGCAACTATGGCAAATAGAAGTGATGTGGTAGTATAAAATTGTTATAAATGTGATATATATTTTGTGTACTCTCAAAGTAGTTTGGTGTTGTGAAGCATGATATTTGAAATATTTACAGTGGTTTCAAGAAAATTTAGGTATGAAGCAAAATGAAACCATCTTTGGGTCAAATTGAAACATTTAAGAATTGATGAACGTGTATATAAGTTAATAAAAACCTTGAAACAAGCGAAATTATTGGAACGAAACCAAAGAGGTTATGTGAAGTCCAGAGAGTAGTCGGGAGTCTGACGACGTTGATTGGCTGAGAGTCCGGGAGTCCGGGAGGTTAAACTTTGATTCCAGGGACATAAAATTATTGCCCTTTTTTTTTGCTCTTTAATAGTTTTTGACACGTAAAATCCATAAATGTAGGTCGTAACTTTAGGAAATTAGCGGTTCAAAAGTTATGAGTATGTAAAGTTCGCGTTTTTAGGGTATTTTACACGCTACTTTGACGCCATGTTGCTTCCATCTATTATTTGATTGGCCCGCATAGATGAGCTTTCAAAGTTCCTATGTATCATACTACCAACCTAAAAATTTTAAACAGGGCCCTTTAAAAGAAATTATTACATTTCAACAGTATTATTATTTCACGAAAGCGTTGCCGACCGCCTGACGGCGGTCGGATTTAAGTATATAGCCTAACCTAATCTAATACTTCCGCTTACCTTATTTAAAAATATATTGTTTCTTAATTGCCTCCATTAATGATTCCATCATATCGACTTTGTTTTTGCGGCAAAATCGATGCCATAAATACTCGCACAGGCGGTCGGCGAAATCATTATCGTGGAAAACAAATTCAAATGAAACATTTGATTTATCCCGCCAAAATGGCCGCCGAATGCTCATCTATGCGGGCCAATCAAATAATAGATGGAAGCAACATGGCGTCAAAGTAGCGTGTAAAATACCCTAAAAACGTGAAACTTTACATACTCATAACTTTTGAACCGCTAATTTCCTAAAGTTACGACCTACATTTATGGATTCTACGTGTCAAAAACTACTAAAGAGCAAGAAAAAAGGGCAATAATTTTATGTCCCTGGAATCAAAGTTCAGCCGTCCGGGAGGCAGATAGAGTAGGCTAGGTGTTGATATATTCAGACCAGACTCCCGCGGTGTTGCCATTTTTACTTCAGCACGGCTAGTACTAGAGTCGGCTGTGGCTTGGTCTAATACGCCTTTCTTACAAGTCTCTTTTTTTTCTAGGTTGGTAATCATGATCGCGCGCTTGCGCGCTACAAGTAGGTCCCTACAAAAGCAGACACTCGTACCGCGTGCGACTTTCTAGCGCTTTTACGTATGCACCGGTTCACACCCCCTACGAACGCGCGCTTTTCCGCTTTTTCCGATTTTTCCTCACTCTTTGTCTACGCTACTTCGCGACTAGTCGATCTGCCTACCATCGTTACGCCGAGTTCTTCGTATATTCTTTTCATCACCGTTTATTTTGAGTTCATACATTTTTCATAATAAAGTTTTGTGTTCACGTATAATAATCATTTCTGTTTCGTTTTTGTGTTTCAACCCTTTTCCACGCACATTCAGCACCCACGTATATAACACCGCAAGACTCTCTCGCGAGCCGCGTGTTTGCCGCTTGGGTACTTGAGAGTCTCAAAATTTGTCCCACGTCCCACGGTTCTGGCATCACTGCTTGAGACTCAACTTCCGAACAGTTTCTTGCATTTTAACCTCTGTTACTTCTAAAACATTCTCGTTGCGATAAAATTCAGTAAATTTTATACAGAGATATAAAATATGAGTGAAAGAGGTGGATACCATTGTTCCTTCAAAGGGTGCCAAAGTGCAAGCAGTGACAGCATGTATTGTACAGAGATTTCAATAAAATGTGTATTTTAATTAAATGTGTATTTTAATTAAATGTAGATATTTAACAGTCTTTTTATGGTATTCTATTTTGATTGTACCGAGTGCTTTTCAAATTAGAACCCGCGCACAACCAGCAATATGGCGATCTATTGGGCATAAGATCAAAGGTGCCGACACGGAGTGAGCCTACTGTTCTTTCCTATACTGTGCTAGGATAGAGCAGACGGCGCTCGTTCTTGTGGAACAAATTCAAGATCCCTCGAAAACAAAAGTATATTCATCGTCAGTTTTATCTGATACATGTCTGCACTCATGCAATTTTGCTAAACTGTTAATAAATAATAAAGTCAAAATTTACTTACGAAAACGCAAAAATGATTCTCAGAAGAACTTGCAATTTACTAACTTTAAGGTAATTCTAAATAATTTTCAGTAAGTTGTTCACTCTCTTATGTTATTACTATTAATAAATATATTTTATACTGTGCTTCAACAATTATAAACAATGTATGTTTGTTTAAGGCAAAATCAAATAAGTATCCAGTTTTATAGTTTATTTCCAACATCATATGTACCACCAGTTTATAAAAAGGATCAACAAAAAGAGATATTTGAAACTCCAGAAGGAAAGCAATTATCTCACACACCTATCAGACCAGCTTTAACTTCTGATACATGTTCTGAATTTCACGATGAGATAATTAGGTAAATAATAAAATACCTTAGTTATATAAAAGAAAAAATATAATTTTGTATAATTGATTCTTTATAATTCATCTGTATCAGAAAATTTATAAATTATATTATGAGAAAAGGTCAAAGAGCAGTAGCCAGGAGAGTATTAGAAACTGCCTTTGAAAATATTAAAATAATACAACTGAAAAAGTACTATGACGCACCACCTGAAGAAAAAGATAATATTGTATTAGATCCAAAAACTATTTTACATCGTGCCATAGAGAACTGTACACCCATTTTGGACTTACATAATATATCAAGAGGTGGTATTACATATAAGGTATAATAACATTTTATTTATGTTCATATAAGTGTCTCAATAAATCTTAAATATAATAATTTAAGATAATATTTTGTATAGGTTCCTGTACCAATATCTGAGAGGAAAGGTCACTTTAAATCAATGAATTGGCTGATTGAAACTGCAAAGGACAAGCCAAATCAAACCCATCTTGTTGATGCCTTAGCAAAAGAACTTATTAGTGCTGCTAATAACGAGGTACATGTACATTTTTACTTCTCTTATATCTATAACATCTTTTGTCGTATTTAGTGAATTAATGTTGATTAGAAGTACAATTAATTTGACTTAAAAGAAATTATGGAATTATATTTTACAATATTTTTACAACTGTTTACATTTTAGGGTCGAACTGTGAAAAAGAAACAAGATTTACACAAACAATGCGAAGAAAATCGAGCTTATGCTCATTACAGATGGTTGGAATAAAGAAATTAAGAATGAAGTTATTATTTATAGATTTACATCAATCAATTAAACGAATTATACATTGTCACCAAAAATATTTTTAAACCTCGTTTCATCAATAATTCGTCCATATGGTACATTTATTTTTAGCTGTTGTTTACACGACTGGATACCTAATTTTTTATAGAGACTATATTTCATAAGTGAGGTAGTTCTTTCTGTAGGAGGTATAATATCATTAACATTGGTTTTTAAATCTCTTCTTTTACCCCAATAATCTACATATGATATTATAACTTCTTGATTATCTTTTAAGTATACAGAACCAATAAGGTTGTTGCATGCATGGCAAACAACGTGAAACCAAGCAGTAATTATAAAACCTGAAATACGTAATAAATTATGTAAGTGATAATCTCAAATACATTTAGTATAAAGAAATTAAATTCCAATCTTACAAACACATATAAGTTTTATACATTCATCTCCTGGTATTAAACCTGTTACTTGTAACCCTATAAGCACTGGTACACTTAGTCCAGCTACGATAGTTTGATTACGTTTCATTACATTTAAAAGGCAAGGAAAGGCGATATGTGGAAAAGCATAGACTAATTGGTAATCAGGAAATTTTAACGATTTGATTATTTCTGATGACTTATTTTTGTTGTCATCTGGAATATGACTATATGGTCTAATTACATTGTTAACCTTAATATATTGACGATATATTAATCGCCGGTAAAAATATATATTTTGTAAACACATGTGAACTTATATAATTGTCCTTTATGTAAAAATAATTTTGCTTTGTTTTGTTTATTTATATATAGATACACGTGTTTTGTGTAAAATCTATTGTTAATAGATACATTGTATTTTTCACAAGATAGTACGAGCGTTTCGCGTAGCTCGACTGAGCTCCGAAAGTTCCCAATGATTTACTTCCCATTGCATCCGCCATATACATGGTGGACAAAATGTACTGATATAGGAACGACTTATTATAGGACAGAGGTAGTGAATAATTCACAAATTTCTAATCACCCGATATACCCCCTGTCCAGCATGGCTTACGACATACAGCCGTACGGCGCTAGCGCGTTGCCTTGGTATCGGAGCGTGGCAGAACCAATCAGAGCCAACATGCGCAGACGAAACCAAAATTCGTTCATCCGATACTAGTAGTACTCTCTCGTGAAAAATACTATACAATCTTATTTAAAAGTTAAGAGAAGTGAGGTAAACACCTCTAGCGGGATAGAAGTAAAAGCTGTATACTGTGTTGCGAACCTCGCCTGTATGTATGTGTGCAATATCGTGTGAATTTAGCTGCAAGCTTGTAATCACAAGCATTGAATGAAATGTAATATGGCGACGATGCCATAAGAGTATGGTTGCAGCATGTCTGCATTATGTTATATCAATGCTCATAAATTAGGAGCCAAAATTCAAAGGAATAAACAAACAAAAGATAGGACACTGTAAACCTTTCAGCGCGGGTGATCGTGCTGGGAGAGAGTTGGAAATCCGGAGAAATATGACTGTCACACTTGAAGTTTCTAAGAAACTAATTTATTGCGGGCCATATCTAATTCGTTACTCTTAACGAAAATCATGTTGATTCTTGAAACTGTCGAAGTCTCTTCGACATCCTGCTTATTTACAGAGCGTCGTAAATTTTCTTAAGGGTTGCCTTGGCTCGCAAGCGCGAGACCTTTTTATCTTTCGTTCTCTCTGGATCCCACGCTTTCTCTTAGCACGTGTGCATGGAATCGTTCTCGAGTCTTGGCGGAGCACCACCATCTTCCACTTGCCTAAGGGTGGACCGAAGCCAGGGAGAGGGACCGCCTCCGGACAAGGATGGGCTCCTCCACCATTGGGCCAGGGATGATCCTGAGGGAGGATTCAGGATCCAGTGAGGAGGGGATGGCAACCAACATCGATCGAAGATCTTCACCGCCAAGCTCAGAACGATTCAAAGCTTCAAACCGCTTGCATACATTGTTTGTAAAAGTTATAGCCACGAAATAAAGTCGTATAATTTTTATTTCCTACACAGAGGTGTTTGCTTTATTAAAAGTCGCGCCGCGAGCAGAGCGCTTCAGCGCTCCACGGGCACCTTACTCACATTCGGCATATCCCAAAAATTCCTAGAACATTAAATCCACACACAACTACTGTATTGCGTGCGCCGTTCCAGATTATAGGGATTTTGGGGACGTGAGTGAAGTGCCCGTGGAGCGCTGAAGCACTCTGCTCGCGGCGCGGCCTTTAATAAAACAAACACTTTGCGTTAAAAAAATGAAGTTTGTATTTCTTTATTTTTAGACTTTATCCTTTCAAGAAATGTAACAAGACGGGTTGAAACTTTGAATCGTTCTGAGCTTGGCGGTGAAGATCTTCGATCAATGTTGGCTGTCATCCCCTCCTCGCTGGATCCTGAATCCTCCCTCAGGATCATCCCAGGTCCAATGGTGGAGGAGCCCATCTCTGTCCATCCCTCTCCCTGGCTTCGGTCCACCCTTGAGTGAGTGGAAATGGTGGTGCTCCGCCAAGACTAGAGAACGATTCTGTGCACACGTGCTAGGAGAAAGCGTGGGATCCAGAGAATTTGTGAGAATTTACGACCCTCTGTAAATAAGCAGGATGTCGAAGAGACTTCGACAGTTTCAAGAACCAACATGATTTTCGTTAAGAGTAACGAATTAGATATGGCCCGCAATAAATTAGTTTCTTAGAAATTTCAAGTGTGACAGTCTTATTTCTCCGGATTTCCAACTCTCTCCCAGCACGAGCACCCGCTTGTTTATTCTTTTGAATTTTGGCTCCTAATTTATGAGCATTGATATAACATAACGCAGACATGCTGCAGTCATACTCTTATGGCATCGTCACCATATTACATTTCATTCAACACTTGCGATTACAAGCTTGCAGCTAAATTCACACGATATTGCACCTGTTGCGAGTCCGTTCGCGGAAGATAGGGATATTTGGGGAATTAAGGCGCAGGTGTGACAATCCGTGGAGCGCGGAAATGAAAATAACAAACATTTATTATCCTTTACTGAGCTTTAATATTTTAAAGTTTTATTTAAGCTGACTTGGTGACTTTGAATTTATAATACGTTTAAATTGCAGCGTGAGAACGACTTCGTAAAGTGAGCGACAAAATCATTCTGCCAGTTCTGCGCTTGGCGGAGATCTTCGCGCGTCGTCGATCGATTCCCCTTCCTTGATGGATCCTGAATCCTCCCTCAGGATCATCCCTCGTCCAATGGTGGAGGAGTCCACCCCGTCTCGTGTGGGCCCCTTCTCCTGGCCATGGTCCACCCTCAGGCGCGTGGAAATGGAGGCGCTCCGCCAAGACGCTAGAACGTTGCAGCGCACATGTGCTACGAGAAAGCGTGGGACGCAGAGAAATTAGGAAACGACAAGACCTTGTACTTGCCAAAGCAACTCTCGAGGAAATTTATGACCCTCTTAGAGTGCATGAAAAGACAGGATATCGAAAAAGACTTCGTAGCTTTTAAGGACCGTTCGTGACTTGGTTGAAAACAACGAATTGGCTATGGTCTATCATAAATTAGTCTTTTAGGAATTTTCGAAGTGAAACTATTCCATTCTCTGGACTTCCGGCCTTCTCTCAGCTCGAACACCCACGTCGAGGGGTTCACAATTTAATCTTTGTCTATTTATATAAGTGTACGTACAGATGATGTTTGAATTTCGCTCTTAATTTATGACCATAGATACAAAAGGTCACAAAAGGTCCTTGAAGAACAAACATTCAAGACATATCGATACAATAGACCATCGATAAATATTCCCATGGCAGTGTCGCCACACCACTCTAAACATATTCACGTGATAACGTTTCACGTTACACACCCATCATACAGGCGAGGTTCGCAACAACTGTGAACAATTACTGCTGTGAATTTGAACTAATAAATCAGATCTCATAATACATAAATACATACTTAGTTAAGTGTATATGGTTATATAAATATTAAGAATTGTTTGTTTAAAAAACTTGATTATTAACAAAATGTTACGTTCCATTTCAAATGAAATTTTAATACAGGTATGGTTTAAAATTATTCATATCTTAAGCTATTAAATAATTAAAATATTATATGTACTCTTTCATAATTACCATTATTGTTTATAAAAGATTTAATTATTTTAGAGAGGAAACCTTACATTATTGCGATTTCTGAGTACAAAAAAGCCATCAACATCGAGTAATCCATCGAAAATTAATCGAAATGTTGCAGGACTTAGCAACAAATGTCTTGAAGTTCCAAATGAACGTAAGATATGAAATATTTGTGCAATTTATTAATACATATGTGTTGCTTATTTATAATTTTTACATAGAGTAGCATACAACATGGTGCATCTCATAACAATATTTGTTTTTAAACTATCTAATAACATTCTATATGAAAATAACAGAAAAAACATAAATCAAAGAATGACAAAAATATTTGTTTCCATATATTAACCATAGATATTGTATATCATTTCTTAAATTCTTGCCTTCTAGCTGTAGGACCAGGTGCTGCCAAAGATAAAGAATATAAAAATCCAGAATATTTTTGTTACCATATAGATAGTTTTGGAGAAGCAGAAGTGGAGTTAGCGAAGTACAGATTACCTGCACCTTCTAATAAAGTACCTTTCAAGCGATAAACAGTTTTTATGATACTTTTCTCTGTAAATAATTATGTAATAGGTAATAGAATGTAATAAATAGAATAAATAATATCCTTACACAAATAAATAATACCTTCTTCCACCAAGATATGATAAACTTCTTAATTATTTCTTAATAGAATAGTAGTAAATATTAGAAAAATTTTGTTCAAAATTCAATCATTACAATATATTTAAATGATATTTTTATATTAAATCTGTCATGTATATTTGCAGCATTATTAATTATACATAAAATAGAAGTTCTATTATCATTTTGAAGTTAACTTGAAATTTGAAATTAACTTCAAAATAATTAAAATAGGTAACAATTTGTTGTAAATATAGTGGTAGTCGTATATTTGTCTATTCATACATATATAAATATGTTAAATTTGAATTCATTTATAAACTAGTTTATACAAAGCGTTGAATGTGTGTATAAGAATATAATTATGTGTACATACACATTTTATTCAATGTCCCGTTATCGTTTATACATACATATATGTATACAAATATGCCTTGTTTTCACCGAACTACGTTAGTATGCATACATATAAGTATCATGTCGCGTGTTAACGATTTTAGGTTCTGACGTTCATTTTTCAACGCTATGTAAATTTACATTTTTTAATCTTAAATATATATCTTTATTTTGCTTTTATACATATTATTTGTGAACATTCTTGTTAAATCGCAGATACTTGTTTATGTTTAATTATTATTTTGCAAAAAGAGGTTACGAACGAACTATTCTGTTATATTTTTCTAAAGGTAATAATGTCTGTCACTCTGCAAAGATATATTCCATTGTTCAAATGGAATGTTCCGAAATATTTTGTTGACACTGTATATATTAGAAACAACACTTTACTACCCGCATCTAAAATACATCACTTACGTTATAAAACAAACATACCATGCTTGGAATACTTAAGGTAAGTAAAAATTTAAATTATATTAAATGTGAAAAAATTTGTGTTAAATACATACTGCGAATACGTATGTATAATGTATATATATAAATTGCTAAATACCAAAAACTAACACACATTATTCATTTCATGTATTTTATATATGTATATACAAATATATATATATATATATATGTGTATATAAGCACTTAATATATACAGGGTGTTCTTTAATTACACATTTTTTTTGTATTCTTATTTAAAAATAACAGAGTTTGGTGGGATAATCTACATGCATACAATGATAATATTTCATTACCAAATCAGATGAGTGATGTAATTGGAAACAAAGACAACTGTATGCAGTTAATTTCAGTTCAATTAATATGTAAATTTTCCTTTTAAGTTAAATTGCAAATATGTTATCATTTCACTTTCGCTTTTTATATTTGTTTATTCTGCTTGCTGTAAAGGTGTTCGGCTTGCAACAAGGACAATCTAATTTAATTTATACCAAACTCTTTCTTCCTTTGTCGTGATATTTATGTTCAATACTATTTACTTATATTTTTGTATTAATAATCATGTCGATGAAAGTTTCTTTACTTTGGTCAGGATAGCATTGTATTGTAGTTTGCGTTCCACGATGCGTTACCGCTTTTAAAATTACTGTAACCGATTTGCTTATCTCCGATCCGATTTCATCGCCTTCATTCTATGATTTTATATTTTACGATTTTACAGTTTTTGTTTGTAATTTCTAATATCTATAGATACCTACACATTAATTTATAATATTTCTAAAAACAATTCAAACGTGCTTATGACGTACCTGCGAAGCTTCTACTGCTTCTGATACATCTTCTACTGCTTCTTTTATATCTTCTTCAAATGATGACATGCTGTAAACTAAACCTGTTTTTTTAGATAAACGGAACTAACTCATGTTGAATTTATTTCGATATTTATATTGCGCTCAATTGATTTAAAAAATCCCGCCATGGCCCACTGTGTTGACTCTTATCCAGATAATCTATTTAGGTAACATAGATTGACAATTGATATTCGTTAAAATATATAGTGGGTATCAAAAGTTGGTCCAGTTTTTAAAAAGTTATTTTATTTTAAAAGGTAGATGAATAGTTTTGAAACTTAGTGCATATAACACTGTATTTGATATACAACCTCTATATGACCTGGTATATTGTTATGTTAATATTTAAAATATACACAGTGAGTCAAATAAAAAATTAGGAAAATTTCTATAATACGAATAATATGTGTGGAAGGTATTTTTATTTCCGCAGAATTCAAGTTTTCAATATTATTATTGAATCCCCTCCGCTCCCGTTATCGACGTAAAGTTATTGTAAAATAAATTAATAGTTATGTCACATTTGAAGAATAACGACATATCGGTCACTAATGATTGTTGTGAATCATCGTTTTCCTCGTTAATTTAAAAGAAAAAATTTGTGTCCAGAAAAGGCACAACAAAATGTATATTATATTTTTCATCAACACAAAAAATGCCAGAACTTTCCGCGTAAGCTGATATTTTGAAAGTATTTAATCAGGAAAGGGTATCATCATCATACGATAAAATAAATATCTCGTATGAAAAATAAATGTAAGAGATTGAATATATATAAACTACAGACTATGAAATAAATTCAATATTTTTTTCATTTATGTTGAAATAAAAAATTCATTACTAATCCCTATTACACCTACTTGTACAATACATATGTACTATTTTGAATTATTTGGAAGTAAATAGAGACACCCTGTATATTTTTGTATGTGAATATATATAGAGGATGTAAGGTAGCTTGTACAACATATTCTGCATTAGATTCATACCGGTTCAAAGAATCTCTTTTTTCTTCAAAATGAATTCAAAGTACGTATAGTGTCGGTCTCGTTATATTTATCTGAAAAGTATTGTAATGGAGAAATTTAACACGTTGACTGTTACCGTGAAAATTACCATTTTAATCACAGTTATTAATAACGTCATAATCATTTAATTTATTAATTTACTATTTCACATTATTAGTTTAACACGCTTGCTACCATATACAGGGTGTTACATTTAAGTGAGAACAGTGGAATATCTTATAAGGGGCTATAGTAGGGGAAACCCAAAGCTCCCTTGAAAATTTCTGATGTAATATGTACACATTAATTATTTAATAAACATTACAATTTTTATTCTTTAGATCAAACAGCGCCAATGTACGAACGATGTATTCGGTGACTGAACCCACATTTTTATCGAATAAAGATGAAAGTCGTGAATTAATGGCTATATGGCCGGATGTTGTACGAGATCTTACCGATGCTGGTCGTCATCTTGATATACCAGATGTTACCAAATGGTTGGCGAAGGTATTCTTTTGTAACTTAAGAATTAAAATATATGTATACAGATGATTGAAATGATATACAGTGATGCTCGGGTGTAAGATGCACTATGGTTCCAGTTTTGCTTCCGGGCATTACTGAAATGTATAGAATATGTTTTTGATATATCCTGTATATTAGTTATTTAAAAATAAGTGTGGGAAAACTGACTGACTGACTTTTTCTGCATATTAAATACTATAAATATAATAATAATAAAAAATGCATCTTTTTTAATTTTCAGGTATTACAGTATAATGTTCCTGTAGGAAGAAAGAACAGAGCATTATCAGTTGTGTATGCCTTCAAATCGTTTGCTTCTGATGATCAATTGACAGAAGAAAATATTCGTCTATCCCGAATTCTAGGCTGGTGTATAGAATTGGTATTAACTTTTTTATTCAGTTAACTTAAAAATGTGAATATTTTCCACATAGTAATAGAATAATGTTTTAATATAGTTGCAAGCATTTTTATTGGTGATTGATGATATTCAAGATCAATCAACGATGAGGCGCAATGCACCATGCTGGTACTTAAACAATGATACTGGATTAGCAGCTATAAATGATGGTATAATGTTGGAAATGTGCATATATCAATTACTTAGAAAACACTTCAGGTCAAAAGATTGTTATGTGAGCCTTATGGAATTATTTTTAGATGTAAGTAGTAAAGAGTACACGCTAAAAAATGTCTAAAATAAATCAGTATTATGGTACAGAAGATAAATTTTTAGACTACTTTAAAAACGTCAATGGGTCAATGTCTTGATTTATTATCAACAAATTTTGGAAAAAAATCAAATTTGGATCTCTTTACAATGGATCGGTATAATTCTATCGCAAAATATAAAACAGCTTATTACACGTTTGTGTTACCAACTACAATTGCAATGTGTTTTGTAAGTTTAATTAATCACATAATTTCATTTAATTGTATATGTATTATATACATTACTTTACAAGGGGAGCTTTCAAATCTTAATTTTTGTAATCCTATATTTATGTATATAAAATATTTATGATAGGCTGGCATAAAAGATCCAGAAATGTATAGGCAAGCAAAAACAATTTTGCTAGAAATGGGTCACTTTTTCCAAGTGCAAGATGATTATATGAATTGTTATGGAAGCACAGAAGCTACTGGGAAAACTGGTTCAGATATAGAGGCGGGAAAATGTTCATGGCTTGTTGTGGTAGCGCTACAACGTGTTACACCAGAACAAAGAAAAATTTTAGAGGTAAACCTATATACTGTTAATAATATTTTATAGTATCTTTTAATTCTTTTGTTAAATAAGAATACTAATAACTTTTATTAATTATGTAGCACTGTTATGGTCAGTCTGATATAGAAAAATCGAATCACGTGAAACAGCTTTACGATGAATTAGGTTTACCAAATACTTATGCTATCTACGAAGAAGAAACGTACAATCTACTAATGACGCACATACAACAAATATCACGTGGACTTCCACATGATTATTTCCTAAAATTACTTGAAAGAGCATGCCGCAGGGTGGCTAGAAAAGATTAATTATATTCTTGAAAACAATAGATCAAACCACTACTACAGTTTAAGAGAGAACATATGTATAACGTGCTTCCTTCTATCTGTGAGTTTATTCTAAGAATTAACCATTTAACGAACAAGTAACAGCCGTATTATATTTTTAATAATTAAAAGCAATTCTACAATAATGTTGAACTTATAAAGGAAAAGACAGCAATCTGTTGTAACGGTTATTAAACATTGAATACCTATAGTAGTAAATAATGAAGTAATAAAAAAATGTTCATTGCGTATTAAACAAATTTGTATGGTATGTACATATATGTATATTTTCTTACAGAAATTTTATTTCTTTTTTGTAAAGGGATCTTTATAAACTCAATGTTCTTGTTTACATTTTTAATAAATTGTTCAATGAACTTTTTTAGATAATCTTTTTATACTTTTTTTACGTCCAAATGGTTGAGCTCTTTTTATATTATTTCGAATTTTTGAACGCATAATTTGTTTCAATTCATATCTGAGATTTTTAAATGTATCATCAGGCACGTATTCTTTGGAGAAAAAATTTACAGCTTCTGAAATATTGCTGTAGATTAATATTTATACATAAATACTTATCTCACGAGGAGAACTATCCAAGTGTTACGCTCACTTATTAATGAAACTCTGCTACCTTGTAGAGCTTCTCGAGTTGAACACACCTATACCCTTTTTTATGGGAGACGGCTAATTATTTAAAAGATATTAACAATTTAAAGTTAGTTACTTCGTACATGTTGAAGTATAACAAACTCACACATAGGAACGATGAGCCCTGTGATTAATCACGTGACTTGAAATCGAAAAGCCTACGGTTCAAATCCTTGAATCCGTTCCTATCTTTTTTTTTAAAATGATAGTTTGTTCCTTTTTGAATATCAATTACAGCTGTGCTATAGTCATTGCATTTATTAATAATCCATTACTTACGCTGCAATTTTTATAGAATTTAAATTATGTTTTCTATTCAGTACATATATTAACATCGTTACAGCATCGTAAATTTAGACGCCCTTGTTTGTCATTACAGACAATTATTTTTTACAATTTCAGTTTTGATCTTATTTAATCATGTTGTATACAAATTTGCTGAACATAAAATAATCTTCTGTCCTGTATTCTATCCTTGGCCGCCTACATCCATATGTAAGTAGATATTGATTTGTTTACTAACGATAATGGCTGTATCAACGCAAACCATTGTATGGCACAAAATTATAAAAATGTAAAAAAAGAAGTGGTGACAAGTGCAATTTCCTTTTCTCTAAGTTTACTAAAAGATGAAGATTTAATACTACCGTCAGAAGAAATCACAGAAGATATCAAAGGAGAATCCAAAGCAATAGGACAGAAATTATATTCATATTTTGTACAAATTAGTGGTACATTAGAATGCATAAGCGAAGAAAATCGTGAAGATGGAATAAATATTAGCGTGTGTAAATTTACGATGCCGTAACAATGTTAATGTACCTACTGGATAGAAAACATAATTTAAATTCTATAAGAATTGCAGTGCAAGTAATGGATTATTAATAAATGTAATGACTATAACGCAGCTGTAATAGATATTCAATAAAAAACAAACTATCCTTTTAAAAAAAAGTTAGGAACGGATTCAAGGATTTGAACCGTAGGCCTTTCGATTTCAAGTCATGTGATTAACCACAGGGCTCATCGTTTCTACGTACATACGAGTTTGTTATACTTCAAAAAGTACGAAGTAACTAACTTTAAATTGTTAATATCTATTAACCAATTAGCCATCTCCCATAAAATGGGTATACGTGTGTTAAACTCGAGGAGCTCTACAAGGTGGTACAGAGTTTCATTAATAAATGAGTGTAACACTTGTGTAGTTCCCCTCATCAGCGTAATTAAATTGTTTATATTTACCACTAAAACGTGTATCGTTAGCATCGAAAAAGAATTTATTTGTGTCCTGAAACTCCTCATTTATATGTTGTTCATTATTCCCATATAGTTCCTTGTTATCATGTTCATCATCAGTAGAATCATATTTGAATGGATTTTTTGACTTAAAATCGAGCTGAAATTTTGGAGGTTGCGATGGTTCTATGGGTGTTGCATTATAATCATTGTCTTCTGCAAGTGTAGAAAGAAAACAATAAGTATTGTGAAATACTTTTTTTTATATTAAAGAAATTAACCTTTTTCATTGTTTTGTTTATTTCCATATTTATTTAACAAATTAAATCCTCCTCCTTCTCTTAAGCTTTTTGTTAACGATTCTGATACTGAGAAGTAAATATCTTTTGATACTTCTACTGGTGGATTTTCAATAGTATCTTCAGTGTTCTTTTTGACTTTCTGTTTCTTTTGAACTTCTTTTTTAGGTATATTTACTTTCCATGTGTTGATTTCATATTCTTTATGATTCTCTTTTGTAGGATCATATCTAACCATTCCTTTCCTGAGAAATTAAAAAGTAACATATGTAAGTGGATTAATGTAAATCATTGATCGTTTATTTATTTGTTTAATTATATACTTTGCAACTTTTGATTCTGTAGTTGCACTTTTATTTTTTGAAGTATATGGTACCCCAAGAATATTTTCTAGAATATCTAACTGCAATTCCTTTTCCTTTTTTAAATCAGTTTCATCATCTTTTTGTGTTATAGCATTTTCATCTGAAACATGATCATCTTCCATAAAACGCATGTCAAGTTTAAACCGTTCATCAGTTCCTGCAGAAAAATTGCACCCAGGAAACTAGAATTAATAATACATTGACTTAATACATTGATTATTTATGAAACTTATTTATAAAAATCCTACCATTCTTGATTTATTTGCTTTAACTTTAAATTTGTCATTATCCCAAATAAACTCATTATTGTCGTCATTATCGTCATTGTCAAACAAATCACGTTTCCTTTTTTTAACTTTTCCTTTAGTCTCAGTTTGTTCCTCTTCATTAATGTCTTCATCAAATATTATTTTATTCTTATTCGAATTCTTATCCTACAGAAATAAATGTACTTTAAATTACAAAAAATACACAACTATAAACATGTTTTTAATAAAATATTTACCAAATCTTTTAATGCATTTTGCACTATCAATTCTTTGGTTCTAAAAGCTTGTTTCATATCTTGCAATGATTTTAGTCGTTTCTTTTCAGATTCATTAACTTCAACCATTTTTATTTCCTCATTTGTGTCATTTAAAACAAGCATTTCTTTATTTACTTATATAAAAAAATCTGTATCAAATCAAACACGTTTGAGTGAAGAAACATAATCTATTCCATACGCAATCACAACCTACTTGAGCCTACTTCACAGCACCTACATGAAGCTAGCCGGAAGGAATAATAAAATATGATTATTTTTAATTTTTCTTAGTGTATTTCATTTGTAAATCGTTTGTGATTTGTTGCGAACCTAGCCTGTATGTATGTGTGCAATATCGTGTGAATTTAGCTACAAGCTTGTAATCACAAGCATTGACGATGAATGAAATGTAATATGGCGACGATGCCATAAGAGTATGGCCGGTATTCACAGTCGCCGAATAAGCAACGACATAAGCCTGATGCTTAAGCATTTGCTTAGAAAAGTAAATGCTTATTAGTGTAGATTCACAATCGATGCTTAAGAGAGTCTTAAGCACTTATGAATTCATAGTCGAATAAGTTCGCCTTATTTGTAAAAAACGAGTTCTTATTTGGCTTCATTGAGGTTATGTTTTTAAGTCGATGATATTGAGGACTTAAGCACGCGTTTGAAGGTGTTATTGTGCAGTAATGGGACGGGAGGGAGTAGGTTAGAGTACACGAATACGGTAAAAGAGATTAAAATTACCGATCCCTCCTGCGATGCAGCTGTTAATTTGTTTGCGGTATTATGCTACTGCAAGTTTTCAAGTAAGTCATATAAATATATCACTACGCCTAAAAGAAGTAGAAAAAAATAAAGATTATCTATATATGTACTGTAATTGTAGCTTATTCTGGGAAACACAATGAATGTTTCTCAGCCCACAGTCTCCCGCATAGTATTTAGGGTGAGTTCACTAATAGGCAGTCTGATGACGGACTATATCAAGTTTCCCAGGGATCCGGACAATTCCACTCAAAATCGCAGGTTATTCAATAATCTGGGACAGGGAAACGGAGCTATTGGTTTACCAGGTGTGGATTTTATATCATTATAACTTTTTCTATATGCACATATACATACATACATACATACATATACAATGTAATTGATTTACCAGGTGTGGATGGCGCTATTGATTGCACCCACATTAGATTAACAGCATCCAGATTCAACAACATGGAAGAAATGTACAGAAATAGAAAAGGATATTTTTCATTGAATGTTAAGGTATGTCATTAAGTTATTTATTTTACCCAATATTCATTGAAATTAACCATATTAATATTTTACTCAACTGATTGATGTACAAATTAACATTAAATTATTCGATCGACACAGGTACAATGAAATCCAGATCAGAACCCGACAGATAGTAGAAAGAACGTTCGGTGTTTGGAAGCGCCGTTTTCCATGTCTTACAAGGGGTTTGACAACGAAGGGCCGTATTCAGAGTTGCAACTTAAGCAAGGACTTAAGACGTTCTTGACTAAGATCGTCTTATTCGAATAAGCAATGCTTAAGTCGCTATGTATTCAGAGTCGGAGAATAAGACCGACTTAGTTAAGGAAACGATGCTGAAGCTTTGCTTAGTGAAGTCCATGCTTAAGCAATGCTTATTTAACGTTCGGCTATTTCCGTCGATTTTCTACTGTAACAACCAATGAAAATGATTCTTAAAAATGTAGCATTATTTCTTACTTAGTGACGCGGTTTTTGAATTGAATTCAAATAATTCAGCGAGCGATAGACAGAGTCAAATTTATTAATAAAAAAAGCCAAATTTATTAAGAACAATTTTCTAATTAATGTTATCACATACGTTATAAAAATCTCTTATATTTAAAGTTCCATTCTGAAATACGAACACAAAATAACACAAAATTGAACTTACGACTGAAATTACTGGTTCAAGGTATAGGTTGTGATATGACTGAGGATGAGGGTATTTTAATCAATAAATTAAACCACTTTGAGCCGAAAGAATAATGATTATTTATTGGCTCGATAGGCATAAAAAACCCCTTATTACATTTCATTTGATACAATTACTCAATGAAACGTACAAGCAATGAGTGCTTCACGTGTAGCAAATCCATCAATGCCATTAACATTTTCCACGTTTCCTAATAATTCTTCTCCATCTTCATTTTGGTTTTCAATTTCATCTCCTTCTACAAGAAGAACAACTACCGTTGTTGTGGAACATAAGAATTTCGTTGTCAAACCCCGTACCTGTGTCGATCGAATAATTTAATGTTAATTTGTGCATCAATCAGTCGAGTAAAATATTAATATGGTTAATTTCAATGAATATTGGGTAAAATAAATAACTTAATGACATACCTGAACATTCAATGAAAAATATCCTTTTCTATTTCTGTACATTTCTTCCATGTTGTTGAATCTGGATGCTGTTAATCTAATGTGGGCGCAATCAATAGCGCCATCCACACCTGGTAAATCAATTACATTGTATATGTATGTATGTATGTATATGTGCATATAGAAAAAGTTATAATGATATAAAATCCACACCTGGTAAACCAATAGCTCCGTTTCCCTGTCCCAGATGATTGAATAACCTGCGATTTTGAGTGGAATTGTCCGAATCCCTGGGAAACTTGATATAGTCCGTCATCAGACTGCCTATTAGTGAACTCACCCTAAATACTATGCGGGAGACTGTGGGCTGAGAAACATTCATTGTGTTTCCCAGAATAAGCTACAATTACAGTACATATATAGATAATCTTTATTTTTTTCTACTTCTTTTAGGAGTAGTGATATATTTATACGACTTACTTGAAAACTTGCAGTAGCATAATACCGCAAACAAATTAACAGCTGCATCGCAGGAGGGATCGGTAATTTTAATCTCTTTTACCGTATTCGTGTACTCTAACCTACTCCCTCCCGTCCCATCACTGCACAATAACACCTTCAAACGCGTGCTGAAGTCCCCAATATCATCGACTTAAAAACATAACCTCAATGAAGCCAAATAAGAACTCGTTTTTTACAAATAAGGCGGACTTATTCGACTATGAATTCATAAGAGCATCGACTGAGTATCTACACCGATAAATATTTACTTTTCTAAACAAATGCTTAAGCTAATGCTTAAGACGTTACTTATTCGGCGACTGTGAATCTAGCCGATGTCTTAAGCATGTGCTTAAGCCCAGCTTAGAAATAAGTTGCGACTGTGAATACCGGCCGAAGAAACTAATTTATTGCGGGCCGTATCTAATTCGTTACTCTTAACGAAAATCATGTTGGTTCTTGAAACTGTCGAAGTCTCTTCGACATCCTGCTTATTTACAGAGCGTCGTAAATTTTCTTAAGGGTTGCCTTGGCTCGCTAGCGCGAGACCTTTTTATCTTTCGTTCTCTCTGGATCCCACGCTTTCTCTTAGCACGTGTGCATGGAATCGTTCTCGAGTCTTGGCGGAGCACCACCATCTTCCACTCGCCTGAGGGTGGACCGAAGCCAGGGAGAGGGACCGCCTCCGGAGAAGGATGGACTCCTCCACCATTGGGCCAGGGATGATCCAACTTAAGTACACATAATAATACTTCTCGCATGAAGCGTATGTATAATATTGTATAATTTTGTTCTTATAGTTAAACCTGACTACGTGTTCGAGCGAACTGTTTCCTCAATGTCTAACGCGACTGACTTCTGTCGTATTGCCATCCCTCTCTCATCGGCGCCCATCTCTCTCACGCCGTTGGCCAGCGGTGTGGGGCGAGGACGCCGGGAGAGAGAGGGAGAGGTGCGAGCCTGTCGTCGCTCTGCGACGGGGCTCACTCTTGTCTCACTCTTATCTCGCGAACGCTTTTCGGAGAATTTAGATCCGCAAATCTCTCCTTTGTTCTTTTTCTGGCGCTTCGCACGAACCAAGTGCTTCGGCGAACCGCAATAACGCGGATTAATTCAGTGAATAGAGGATTGAAATATAAACTTGTTATTCCTAAGGCTACTTGTTAATTTATTAAATACAACGAGTTTTTGCTAAAACTACGCAACACGTTGCTGTGGAGTTCATTGCTTCCGCTTTTCCAAGACTCCGGCGCCTCGGTAAACGCGATCCGGCACCTCGCTCATTTTCCTACAGATTCCCAACCGCGGAAAATACGCCGCGGCGAAATTTAACGGAACACTACGCCAGGCGAGTGGAGAACGTGATTTTCGATTGTATATTATTATCGATATATATATGTAGCAGGTCTAAAAGTATTTAGATTTAGATAAAGCGGGCCACGTGCCGCTGCGTCGCAGAACGCTGAAGTGTTTAGGCGGGAAGGCGGGGCGAAGGCGTGGAGAGGTCGAGGAGAAAAGCGAACGTTTGGAGGGAGAGGGATGGAAAAATCGGCAGTTGAAGGGAACGTTGGCCTGCGGATCATTGAGCGGTTTTTGCGATGAGCGTTGGCTCTTTTGTTTTCTACTTACTGTTCATTTTAATGTACTTTTACGTTACTAATAAATCCTACAATTTGGGGGCTCGTCCGGGATCTCAAGGATTAGTCAAAGGAACAATCTTCGATTGGACAGTGACGTGAAAGTGGACTTGTAATGGTACGACGGAAGACAAAGCACAGATAAAGTTGTCAGTGCGCGAGTGATTTGAAGTTGGGCAGTGTGTAAGTTGACCGCTAGCCAATACAGTTGTTATAATCAATCGTGAACAATAATTAAGTTGTTTAAAGTTGAAGCGCTAAGATGAGTCGCAGTGAAATGAAGCGCAGTGAAATGAAGCGCAGTGAAATGAAGCAGGCAGCCAACACAGAAGAAAGTGGTGTGGACGAGCAGAGTGATGGTGGTAGTTTAGATCAAACTATCGTGGATAATGGGAGAGCAACCACCAGCAAGACAAAGAAAGTGAAGATAAAGACAAAGCAGAGGAAAACAACGAGTGAGAAACATAATTTAACCGAAAAGATGATTGACGCGATGAAGGTTAAAGAACTGAAAGAAAAACTGCATGAATTACAGTTGGATAGCATAGGGAATAAAGCTGAGTTGAGACAAAGATTGAAAGAAGTTAAAAACATAGAAGACGAAGAAGAAGAGGAGGATGAAGAAGAAGAGGAATCAGAGAATAGCGAATCAGATGAAGATATCGAAAGTGAATGTGAATCAGAAAGTGGCCATAGGCACCGTAGATCAAAGAGACGCGCAAACAAGGAAGTCATCAGATTTACAATCAAAGACGTTGATAATAGCATTCCGTATTTTACTCGAGACGACAAATTGCCAATTAAAAATGGATTACTGATTTCGAAGAGTTAAGCACTTTGCTCGACTGGAACGATCTTCAAAAGTTGTTATATGGGAAAAGAATGTTGCAAGGATCGGCGAAACAATTCATCACATATGAGAAGGGAATTGTGTCGTGGAGGATTCTCAAAAAGAAGTTGTTGCGTGAGTTTAAGACAGAAACAAACAGTGCATTGGTCCATGAACAATTGCGGAAACGGAAAAGGCGTCCGAATGAAAGTGCACGACAGTATGTAGCTGCCATGCAAGAAATCGCAAGTCAAGGAGACATAGAAAATGATGCGATAATAGAGCATATTATAAATGGGATCCAGGATAGGGAAGCAAACAAAAGTTATACGAGGCTTGTTCACTCCATGATTTGAGAAGAAGGCTGGAATTGTACGACAGGAGAAAAGAAAAAGAAGCTGAGGGTAAAAGATTGTGGGAGAAAAAAGAATATGACGGGGAGGACAAGAAGACTCGACAGCGACCAGTTCGGGACCCTAAGTCAGAAAAGAAAATGCATTGTTTCTCCTGTGGGTCAGTAGAACACGATGTGAAAAACTGTGTTAATAAAGCAAAGGGACCCAATTGTTTCGCGTGTGACGAATTCGGACATCTGGCAAAAGACTGCCGAACGCGGGTAAAGTCGAAGCCCAAAGAGGACAGTGTCAGTTGTGTAAAAAGCGTAAAAGACAAATTAAGTGCTGTTAATATAAATGGCTTAACCTGCTATGCTCTAGTAGATACAGGAAGTGATGTAAGTTTAGTTCGAGAGGATACGCATTGCAAAGTGCAGTCGACAGTTTCTACAGTCGATCTCCCGAGTTTTTACCGGTTTCGGAAATGCGCGTACAGTACCCGTCGGAAAGTTCACAACGGAAATGCGCGTTGATAATAATTGTTTTGATGTAGAAATGTTTGTGGTGGCTAACGAAGCAATGTCCGCCGAAATAATATTGGGACAAGACTTTTTGAAAGATGTAAAAGTGTATATAAATCAAGGTGAAGTGGTAATAAAAAAAGTGATATCGAAGAACGAAAGCACGAGCAGTGGAGCCGGAAACGTCGAACACACCATCGATGCAGAGAAGAATCGGCCGGAAGAAGTACAAACGAATGATTTAGCAAGTATTAACTGTATTGATCAGAATGAAGTAGACATTGCTAGCGGACAGTATAAAGTTAAGGTACAAAATCTTATACAAAGGTATGAACCGGCTAAAGAATTTAAAACAGCGATTGAAACACGAATTACGGTTATCGATGAGAACCCCGTTCGACTTCGACCTAGACGTTTAGCCTGGAAAGAAAAAGAAATATTAGATGCGCAAATTCAAGAATGGCTTAAAGACGGTATAATAACTAAAAGTAGAAGCGAATACGCGAGTCCTGTTATTATAGTACCGAAGAAAGACGGGTCGTATCGGGTATGTATCGATTATCGCGAATTAAATAAGAGAATAGTTAAAGAGTGTACTCCCATGCCTCTAATAGAAGATTGTATCGATGCTTTGACGGGGGCGCGAATTTTTTCTCAACTCGATTTGAAAAACGGATTTTTTCATGTACCGGTCGCCAAGGACAGTCGGAAGTATACCTCATTCGTAACACCCGACGGACAGTATGAATTCCTCAAAACACCGTTTGGTCTCTGTATTAGTCCTACTACCTTCATACGATTTATTAATGAGGTGTTTGAAGAATTAGTTAAACGCAAGATAGTCAGAATTTATGTTGGTGATGTAATTGTACCGGGTACTGACGAAGAAGACGCGTATGAAAAATTAAAGATCACATTGGGGGTCGCGGGAAAAAACGGTTTGTGTATAAACTGGAAAAAATGTAGACTTCTTCAACCTCAGGTAGAATTTTTGGGACATGTGATTAGGGACGGTCAAGTCGGTCCGTCGCCAAGTAAAGTTAAAGCGGTACAAGCGTTCCCAGAGCCCACGAAAAAGAAAGATGTACAGAGCTTTTTAGGTCTTACGGGATATTTCCGGAAGTTTATAAGGGACTATGCTAGGATAGCGTATCCGTCATTAGATCTGTTGAAGGACGGGGTTAAATTTCAATTCGGTGAAGACTAGAGACGGGCCTTTAGCACATTAAAAGCTGCATTGACCGGTGAACCAGTATTGCGCATTTTTCAGCCACAGGCTATTACAGAATTATATACAGATGCCAGTTGTAATGGTTATGGGGCGGTTTTGTTATGTAAGGATGGTCGAAATAGCTTGAGAATAGTTTTATTTGAAAATTGAATGATGCTGCGGTTTTACGTGTTCGTTCGCAACGAGAGGCATAGCCGAACTGCCTCGACGCGTTCCCGTGCTTTCTCGAAAAAGCGTTAATAACAAAACACTGTCAACGGCCGGTCCGGACTCGCCTTCGACGCAATAACGGCTACAGGTACCTTCAAAAAGGAAGTGGCTTACAGTTACAAAAGAATAGTGAGGATAAGATGTTTCACCCCATTCACTATATGAGTAGGAAAACTACCGATGCGGAAAAGAAGTATAGCTCGTACGAATTAGAATTATTAGCGGTAGTAAGAGCGGTGCAAAAATTTCGTGTTTATTTGTTAGGATTAGATTTTAAAATAATTACTGATTGCGAGGCGGTTCAAAAGACGTTATACAAAAAAGATCTTTGCCCTAGAGTCGCCAGATGGGCACTGACTCTGGAAGAATTCAATTATAAAATGGAACACCAATCAGGTGAACGTTTAAAACATGTTGATGCTCTCAGTAGATATCCAGTTTTTATAATTGAGGACAAGTTACACGAGGTTATTCGAAAAAGACAAGACGAAGACGAACGCATTAGGGCAATTAAACAGGTATTAGAAAGTGAACCATATGAAGATTATTCGGTAGAAAATAATTTGTTATTCAAGCGTTGCGGACATAAAAATGTTATCGTACTACCAACAAGTATGTCTGTGGATATCATACGAAAGGTACACGAGAATGGTCATTTCGGCGTCAAAAAAGTCGTAGAACATATTAAGGAGGAATTTTATATACCTAATTTAAGCGAGCGAGTGGAAAGAGTGATAAGTTGTTGTGTTCCATGTATTTTAGCGGAGAGAAAGAAAGGGGAAAAAGAAGGCATGCTCTCGCCTATACCGAAGGGTGATACGCCGCTATGTACGTATCACATAGATCATCAAGGACCGATGGTAGCGACGGGTAAAGGGTATAAGTATATTTTGGTAATTATAGATGCGTTTGCGAAATTTGTATGGATATACCCGACAAAAACAACGAATGCAGCGGAGGTATTGGCTAAATTAGTTACCCAACAAAAGACCTTCGGAAATCCCAAGCGCATTATTTCGGACAAGGGTGCGGCCTTTACGTCGAAGGAATTTAAGGACTATTGTGCGTCGGAG